TGGCTCAGCCTGTAATCCTGCGCCTTGGGAGGCTGAGGTGAGTGGATTGCCTGAGCCCGCGGGTTTAAGACCCGCCTGGGCAACTCGGCGAGACCTCATCTCTACAATAAATTTTTTAAAAAATGAGCCTCCGGGCGTGGTAGCGCACGCCTGTAGTTCCAGTTACTTGGAAGGCTGAGGCAGAAGGATCGCCGGAGCCCAGCAGGTCGAGGCTGCGGTGGCTGGGAGCGCACTCCAGTCTGGGTGACAGAGTGAGACTCCAACTCAAAAAAACAAAACAAACAAACAAACAAAAAACAGGTAAGTAAATAATGGCCAGATTTTCACCACATTTAGAAGGCACACTGCAGGTGGTTTGCATGGCCCATGTGAAATTAAGTGGTTTGTATGGCCCATGTGAAATTAACATGGAGGTGGTTTGCATGGCCCATGTGAAATTAACCTCAGGGAGCCCTAGGGGTGTCACGGACTTAGGTCACTGTCTTCCAAGGCAGCTGAAACTGAGAGGCCATCATGTGACTTGCCTTCAGGGTGCTAGATGTCCCACATATCAAAACACTATGGACAGAGATAAAACCAATGTTAGCCATGGGCGCTGCGGGAGCACAGTCTCTCTCGGTCCCGCACTAAAGACCTCCCAGGTGGAAGACGCTAGTTAGTCTGTTCTTTATTTTCCGTGGAAAGTTACAGGGTTACTTGTCAATAAAATGACTGTTCAGGGCAGAGACAACCAGTGGCTTCTATGTACAAGCCGATCCCTGGATAGTTCCAGAAGGGCCTCCACCCCAGAGGCTTTTACTGGGCCCCTTCCCAGGAGTTCAAGGGCAAACAGCAAATGCCAGGAACAAAAGTCTGCCTGACCTGACCACCTGCTTTAGCCCCAGGGAGGTGTGGGGAGCTGGGTGGGCACCAGGCCTTGGCTCGGCCATGGTGTTGGAGCCTCTCTCCCCAGGGGTCCGCCTGCCCACACCCCTGCCCTGCAGGGCTGTCTGGGACATTCCTGGGACTGCTCTGAGGGGTCACAGGTCCCCACTTGGGCCTTCATTTCTTTCGAGTTGTCATTTTAACGCTGAGGTGTCCCAGCCTCCCCTCCTGGAGGATAAGTATTTGCATTGTCGCTTTTTTTCAAACTCTCTGTCAGACCGTGTTTTCCCTGGAGAATTAAAAGTGTCTCAGCAAGTACAGTTCTGCTGGTCAATCTGCTTCCGACAGGGCTCCATGGTGACGGCGACACCCACCCCGCTCCGGCCCGAGGTCATGCGGGTCACCTCGCTCCAGGTGTCTGTGTCTGGGTCGTAACACTCCACGCTGTCCAGAAATGTGTGACCATCGTAGCCTCCTGCAGGAAGAAGACAGGGACAGTCACCAGTGTCATGCCACCTCCAAGGGCAGGAGAAAGGAAGAGGAAGAAGCAACCGGGAGATGCAAAAAAGGCCAGTTGGTGGGGCTTATACTTGGAATCCCAGTACTTTGGGAGACCCACACGGGAGGACTGTTTGAGGCCAGGAGTTCAAGACCAGCCTGGGCAACATAGTGAGACCTCGTATCTACAAAAATTTTTTTTAAATGGGGCCAGGTGCGGTGGCTCAAACCTGTAAATCCAGCACTTTGGAAGGCCAAGGAGAGAGGATTACCTGAGCCCAGGGGTTTGAGACTAGCCCAGGCAACTTGGCAAGACCTTGTCTCTACAAGAAATAAAAAAAATTAGCCAGGCATGGTGGTGCACCTATAGTTCCAGATACTTGGAAGGCTGAGGTAGAAGGATCGCCTGAGGCCAGCAGATTGAGACTGCGGTGGCTGTAAGCATACCTCTGCACTCCAGTCTGGGCCACAGAGTGAGACTCCAACTCAAAAAAAAAAAATTAGACAGGCACGGTAATGTGCACCTGAAATCCCAGCTACCTGGGAGGCTGACACAGGATGATCACTTGAGCCCAGGAGGTTGAGGCTGCAGTGAGCAATGATGTGCGCACTGCACCTCAGCCTGGGCAACAAAGTGAGACCATGACAATAATAATAATAATAATAATTCTGCACAGAATTATTATTCTGAGCCAGGCACAGTGGCTCATACCTGTAACCCCAGCACTTTGAGAAGCCGAGGTGGGAGGGATCGCGTGAGTCCAGGAGATCAAGACCAGCCTGGGCAACACAGCGAGATCTATAGCTTTAGAAAAAAATTAAAATATTAGCTGGGGCTGGGCTCAGTGTCTCAGTCTGTAATCCCAGCACTTTGGGAGGCCGAGGCAAGTGGATAGCCTGAGCCCATGGGTTCGAGACCCACCCGGGAAACTTGGTGAGATCTCGTCTCTACAATAAATAAAAAATTAGCCAGGTGTAGTTGTGTGTGCCTGTAGTTCCGGCTACTTGGAAGGCTGAGGTGGAAGGATCTCCGGAGCCCAGCA